CAGAATTCAAGTAAAAGGAAAGGAGCAAGTTGTAAATTATGAACAGTAAAGAGAGTGGCATCACAAGAATGGGATCTTATTGAGTCGTGGAGACAAAAATAAGTTGGAAAGCTTGCTGGTGAAGAGTGTTAACCGGTATGTCTAAAGATTGAGTAGTTTGAACTTACTGGAGGAAACTACAGGATGAGAATGGAATGTGAAGGAAGTTATTCTTGTCTGGTCCAAGATGGTGGTTAAGGAAGGTAGACAGCAGGTGGTAAGTGCCAGAGGCTAAAAAGGAAGCTTCTGTACACCACAGTGACTCAACGAATGTGGGAACAGAAGAAAGAGGCATAAAAATAACTGCATTTTAGGCAATGCTTTATGAAAAAGTACCCCATTTTATCCAAAATGATGAAGTACTCAAGAGGTATCCTGTAGTGTCTTTTGATTCCCATGACTGAGAGACCAGTTATCTTGGAACACGTGTTCATACAGGCCAGCAGTTTTTCAACTTCTGCTTCATCAGACTGACTCTCCTTCACTTGCACTTTAAAAGCTCTTGATTGAGAATCAGGTCTTTATGAGACCAGCCCTGTTGGAGACATCAAGCTCATCAGTCACACCAAATTTGACCCATTGGCCCAAGGTCAGTAGCCCTAAAACATCTGGCCCCAACAGGGCCTGAAATGAGGGCCATATAGGAAACAATGTACCTTACAGGCAAGATGGCAATGAAAATATGTACTTGGCTTCTGAAAGAAATGCAGCATTTTATTTTTATGGAGAACCTTTCCTTGGTAAAATTAAAAGTGTTTTCACAAGCATGATCTCATTCTCACAGTAGCCATGTGAAAGAGGAAATGGAGGAGATATTTTAATTCCCATTTTATAAAAGAATAAATTGAGAGAGGGAAAGAGCAAGTCACTCTCTTCCCAATTCTCCCCCTTGAATAGGCCAGCAGGGCTTGAACTAGAGCCAGTTTTCCTAATGACGTCTCTTTCTGTGCTCTGAATCCAGTCTATCCCAGGACTTGGCATGGCACTGTTGGATGGCATGGACCAGGTGGCTCATATTTTTATTTCACAACATGTAAATGACATTCATACAGCACAGTCAATAAATATCATACCCAATTAGTTCTATCTGAACAGGCAAATGTTTGCTTACAAATCCATCTACAACAATTTAGCATGTCACAATGTCTAGGCATCTCTATACATTTTTTAGAGTGAGTAGTTGAGTACCGTCAAGTTGTTAGTTTTATCCTGTGATAACTGACCACTCATCTTTTCATTCAGAAAGCTTCTGCGTAGCTCCATAAAGATAGCACTGTATCACTGCTTGCTTGATGACTTGAAAATTGCTCTGAGTAGAAAATATCCATAAATTTTAAAAGGCAGTCTTACCAAGAACCACAAATAGTTCTCATTCTGTTTCTAAATAGCAAGATCACATTAAAACTCAAAAATAGATAACATTAATCACTATAATTCAAATAACTACTCTCTAGACCTGGCAGGGAACCTTGAGAGCTTAGTTCTTTTTTCCTATGAATTTCTGGCATAGCGTGCTTGGGGGTTGGGGGGAGTTCGTTAACAGTGATTAAAGTTAGGGAATGCCTTAGGAGAAAATGGCATTTGTTACCTTCCTGTCTTTAATCTGCCCACTCAGAAACCCATACTCAGCCTTGATTATGATTGTGGTGGGAAAATCTTGGTGGGACTGTCCTGATTTTATAAAAGGTATAACCAAGGACAGATAATAATTACTGAAATAGCAATCATCCTTTGCATAACAATTTGCAGCTTATAAACCCTGTCACCTGCATGATCTCATTTATTTCCCATAGAGCAATAAGTTGCTATTATTTTTGTTCCTTGTTACTTGTGAAGAATCTGAGTCACAGAAGATTAAAGTTAGCTTTGAAAGTCACACAGCTATGAAGTGATAGAGCTGGAAATCAAACCAAAGTCTTCTGACACATTATCCCTATCCCGCATAACGTCAGCTATACCATGCAGCCTCCCAAGCCTACCAAAGATGTTGGATCAAGAATGGAGGTGGGCAGAAAAGCAGTCAATGTGTTTACAAAATAGAAAGGACTAACAAAATAGGAAAAAATGCGAAAATGAGACGTACTAAAGAGGAAACCCAAATGGCTAATAAACATATGAAAACATGCTCACCCTCACTAGCAATCTGGGAAATGCAAATTAAAACCATGATCATACGCATTAGATCAATGAAATTAAGTCTGAGAATGCCTAGTATTGTATCAGATAGGGAGCAATGAAAATTCTGATATACTAGAAATGGGAATGTAATTCGATTTGACCTATTTTGTCAGCCATTGGCCATTGCATAATAAAGCTGAAGAAGCCCGTGGTCTATGCCCAGAAATTCTATGTCAAGGTCCACACTTCAGAAAAGCTCTCCCATAAGTACACAGGAGCCATGGAAAGAGATTATTAGCAGAATTCTCATAACAGCCAAAAATTTACAAGAACCTGAGCCTCCATTAACACAAGAAATATTAAGAAAATAGTGATATAGCCATCCAACAGACACTCTGTTGCAGTGAAAATCAATGAATTAAAGGTAAAGATATCAAATAGATAAATATCACAAATACATTTGGAAGAGAATTACAGAAGATTAGTATGTATACCATACATGATTGTACAATGATTATAATGATTTTTAAATGTGCAAAACCATATTTGGGGGGATATTATTATTTAGGGATTAAGTGTTATTTGGGGACATTATTTAACGGTACCTGGATATGTCATAAAAATGTAAAGTGCATGTGAATAATGTAGGGTAGTGATTACCTTTGGAGAGGTCAGTAGGAGGGAGTTGCTACCTGAAGAAACACAACCAGTATGACCAGTATGTGCAATGTTCTCATCATTGAGTTGGACACTGGTACACAGTATTTATTATTCTTTCAACCTTGTAATGTGTAAAATAGATGATCATAACTTTAGAAATAGAAGAGGCAAGAAGAGAAGGAAAAAAGTTTGTCTGAATCAGATGCTTCTCTGGGACTCTCAGATGACCAGACCAGTCGAAAATAATACCAAAGAAAATATTGTTTTTCAGAGTTTTTATTTTATAATGAATAATTAACATTCAGGGCATTTTTAATATTATAAAGTCAACTTCTAACCAGTGGACTTCTATAACTCGAAAGAGTCTCCATTTGCCCTGGTCTAATGATGAATCATAGTAGCAAAGAAAGGATGCTCATCCCAACTCAGCCCTAACTCCTGCTCCAAAATCCCTGCGTTACACCAGCACCCTTTCTGATACACATAACCGAAGTGTGAAGTTCCATCCAACCAATCACAGAGTCTATGACATTTCTTAGAATCACACTTAACCTGGATCCCAGAAAATGTTTGCTTGGCTTATTCTGTCTTTACATCTTTAGCACTTTCAAGCAGGTCTCTAGCATTTGGGTAGAGTGAGTGTTAACCAGTCCGTGTTGTTGAGAGTATCTTACTCAGGAATGTTTTATTCATAGAATTATTTATTTTAGAATGCATACAGTGGAGTGATCATTTTATATCAGACACCTAAGAAAAGCTAGAAACGTATTTAACTCTGAAAGTTCAACTCTGTTTTTGCATTTTTGATGTTTGCAATTTTATGGGCGAGGATGTCTCAGAATGAGATCCCTAGCCATGTACACTACCCATTTCAGAATTATGCTGATAAATTAATGTCTGTTGAGTTACTTATTTGATAGTCTGTGAAAATATGTCTTTCCCTCATATACTCCTCAGAGTAGTCAGGCACAATCTCAGTTTGCAAGTTCAATTTTCAAATATTACGGTTTTTGAGAATAAAAATATTGATCCATAATATAACAGTTCTCTAAAAATAAAACTGTTATTCATAGATAATTGAAATTTTTAAACAATTGTCTCAAACAAGCATGTTTTCCTGCATCTTAAAAAGAAAATATTGTTTTTCAGAGTTTTTATTTTATAATGAATAATTAACATTTAGGGCATTTTTAATATTATAAAGTCAACTTCTAACCAGTGGACTTCCATAACTCCATAATAATTCATTAGGGAGAGAGGACAAATGCCTTTTTTAAATGATCTACAGAAATATTAATTAATCTACAATCAGAGAATGAGTCTATGGCAGCCTCCTATTTGAAAGCCAGGGTCCCAAATCCCATCCATCCTATTTTAGCAATAGTAATACTAATAGTGGTCCACAAATATTGGACACTCACCGTGTTTCAGGCACTATGCCAAACACTTTTCCTATATTATTTTATTTCATCCTCACAACAGCTTTACAAATGAGGAACTGTGACTCAAAGCAGGTAAGTCATTTGCCCAAATCAACATATCTGTTAAGCAGTAGGTAGAGCCAAGATATGGATGCAGATCCTGATCCCAGAATCTGTGCTCTTGGCCTTTGCTTGTGTATACACAGAAACTTTATAATTACATCTTGCCGTAGATGGAGAAAATAAGTGGGCAAAATATTTTCCTCTTCCATAAAAAAGAAAAATAGCAGTTGACTTAGTCAAGCTATACAAAAAAAAAAAAAAAAGTATACCAGGGCTTTCTAAATTTTCACCCAAGACTTATGACCACCACTTCTCAATAGTTTGAAAATTCTATTGACTGAATTGCACTGAAGATGGAAATGAAGATGAAAAAGAAGCATAGAATATATGCTTCCTCAAGGTACAAATTCTTCTAGACTTTTCTTCCTGAGCCTTTCTTTTTGAACACAAAGATGCTTCTGAACTCCAAGAATGAATACATAGCATTTTTTTCATCATTTGATCGTTGTATTTGTTGGCAGACCTGTTGTAACCTTGAGTCACCTACAGCGAATTTAAATATTATTCTAATTGATTTTCTCACTGCTTACTGAGAAACCGAGTGCCTCTTATACTAGTCTCATAAATAATTCCATTTCTCTATGTCAACTTTAATTGAACTTACCTCATGTTGTCAATCTCTTTCTTTTTTCCTTGCAGGTGATGTCATTGTCTATATTAATGAAGTTTGTGTCCTTGGACACACTCATGCAGATGTAGTCAAACTTTTCCAGTCTGTTCCTATTGGTCAGAGTGTCAACCTGGTGTTGTGTCGTGGCTACCCTTTGCCCTTTGATCCTGAGGATCCTGCTAACAGCATGGTGCCACCCCTTGCAATAATGGAGAGGCCACCTCCGGTGATGGTCAATGGAAGACATAACTATGAAACATATTTGGAATACATTTCTCGGACCTCACAGTCGGTTCCGGATATAACAGATCGATCGCCTCATTCTTTGCACTCAATGCCAGCTGATGGTCAAATAGATGGCACGTATCCACCACCTGTCCATGACGACAATGTGTCTATGGCTTCATCTGGGGCCACCCAAGCTGAACTTATGACCTTAACCATTGTGAAAGGTGCCCAGGGCTTTGGCTTCACTATTGCCGACAGTCCTACAGGACAGCGGGTGAAACAAATACTTGACATTCAGGGATGCCCTGGCCTGTGTGAAGGTGACCTCATTGTTGAGATCAACCAGCAGAATGTACAGAACCTGAGCCATACAGAAGTAGTGGATATACTTAAGGACTGTCCCATTGGAAGTGAGACTTCTTTGATTATCCATCGAGGAGGTAAGATAAATACTGACTCAGCAATAAAATACACAGGTAAAATAGTAAGACCCTTACAATAATATCATAAAAATAGAAGTTTCTCTGGAGTTGAATGAAATCATACTTTAAAAAATAAAGGTCAATGAATAAGAGAGAAATGCAAGAGTCCAGAAAACCGTGGGTTTTTTTTAATTTTGAAAATATGTATTTTCCTATCTTTTATTAAACACAAGAAAAGTGGTGCTTACACATTTATCTTAGTATGAACTTGGAAGGTAACACCTGAATCCCTAAATGTGAGTGGGTTATATTCTAAAAGTTCACTAACGTATACCGGTCGTAGAGATCTCAAACTGGTTTTCTATTGACTTAATTAAGAAATCTGATTCTTCCAATGGAATCAATACTCTGTGTTGTGCTTGGGACTCCAGGCTAGCAAGTGGGAGCTGGTTCAGTCCTTTGCAAGTTCAAATATAATCTTGATAATCCCCCTAAGGACCTTGGGGAACTGGTTGCCGCAGAAAAATCTTTACGTAGAGTTGTGAATTGGGATGCTGAGGACACTTCTTCCATTACCAGCAATAATTACTCTTGGTGACTTCCATGATTTGAGCAGAAAATTACAGAACAGGTTGGGGCTGAAGTTAAGCGGGGTTCCTTGGTGAACCATGGAAATCGGAGCAGTGAGGAGTGTGGTAGTAATCTGAGCCCTGGGTGTTTCCTCCCTTCTACTTCTGGGGAAGTGAATGGGGCAAGCGGAAAACCCCTCCTTCATTTCTGTGCTACTCTGCTCTTAACTATCAGTGACACTAGGGAGAGAAAGGAGGGAAGGGCCACGGATAGGATGGATACTTGAAAATAGATATAAAGGAAAAGGCTCAGGTTAAGTCCTGGTTTTCCACTTGCCAGTTCTGGGACTTGGGACACTTGGAGTCCAGGAGCCTCAGAAGCCTCGTCTGTTATATTGGGATGATCCTATTACCTAACCTGGTGGTCCTGTTCTTCATATCGAGCAGCCCACAGTAGGTGTTCATTAAATGTGTGTTGAGTGTAAATGAAGCCACAGCAAGGGTGGTTTGGAAGGAGCAGCACTGCAAGGAACGCATGCGTGAAGAACACACGTGTGGCAAACATATGTGATTGTCTATTCAGAGCACTAAACACAGCATGAAAGCCCTGTTGGTTTGAAATGCAAATGAAAGCAGTGAAAGCTTGAAAGAAGCACCTTTTATGATTTCCTTGACCCTCCCTGCAGGTGTTTCCACTTCGAGGAAATATTTACATTATTGATTCCTTGTGTGAAAATGGACATCAAATACTAGGCATTTCTGAGCAACGCTCTACAAAGTATTATGTTTCTATATTAAAAAGGGAAAATCTGAGGGCAGAAGTCTTAAATTTGACCTTCTTAAGGCATCGTTACAAAATAGCACTTGAATCTTTATAATTAAATATTGACAGTGTATTTTAATTTCTCCCATTGTTTGTGTAAGATTAAAATAAATATTCTTAATTAAAGCCATCTCTTCATAGCGTGCAACTGAAAAGCAAATCTTTGTAACAGGTTCTTGATATTAAAAGGTATACTGAAAAGCACTGTTCAGTATATCCACTGTATGATTCATAGAAACAAGTTCAAATACATATCATATATAATGGCTTTTTTTAAGGCATGGCATAGCAGAAAAAGTATTTTGAAATCATTTTATATATGTGTATATATATTTATGTATATATTTTTATATGTTTATATATTTTTATATATTTATATTTATATATGAATGCCCACTATCCACTAGACCACTCTATTCTTGCTCTTTTTTTTTCCCTCTACTTTCCCCACCTCTCATTTAATCTTCCAGTGTGTTACATTTTGTTTGCATTTTGCTTGTGTTTGGGGGTAAGGAATTGGTGTTTATTTTGTAGCTAGTGTAGACTACAGAATATGCCCCGTAATGCTTAAAGTGCTTCTGGTCAAAAACTTCTCATGTTTCCCCAAATTCCCACAATTTGCACTCATCTCTCTGAAATTATAAGGATCTAATATCATGTTTTGGGGATGAAATTTGCTTTATCTCATTATAGGCTACTCATAAGTGCTTAGAGCCTCATTTACATAAGTATAGACCTTCAGGAGCAAATTCACACGCCTGGGTCCTTATATCAGAATTGTGATTGGTTGTTTTAGTTATTTATTAGGATTTTTAGTTTTTAAAGCAATATTATACATGGTTTAATTTAATTTTTTTAAACAGTATCAGAAGGTATGCAATGAAAAATAATTCTCTTGCCTGTCCCAGACTTTCAGTCCTTTTTTCAGAGGCAAACTTGTTTTTTGAATATATATACTTCCAGAACTGTTGTGGTCTTAACTAGCACATGAATGAATAAATGTAGTATGTTTACTATAAATGATATGATATTATACATACTTATGTCTTGCTCTAAATATCTTGGTTATTAGGGTATATTTCATTTTTTAACACACCATTGTGGCATAACTTCTATAACATAAAATTCACCCACTTAAAGTGTATGCATCAATAAATTTCACTAAAATGATATTTTTGTGTAACAGTCACCATAATCCTTAGAACATCCATCATCTCAAGTTCCCTCAGCCCCAGAAAATCACTAATTATGCTTTCTGGATAGGTTTTTTTTTTTTTGGATAGTTTTGCATTTCTGGAAAATTGTATATGTGGAATCATACAGGTGCACCGGAGCAGCAAAGTAGGTTAAACAGCCGACTCTTGGCTTTGGTTCAGGTCGTGATCTCGTCATGGTCCTGAGATCAAGGCCACATAAAGCTCTGTGTGCAGCATGGTGTCTACTTGAGATTCTCTCTCTGCCCATCCTGCTGGTGTGTGCACTCTCCCTCTGAAATAAATCCTTGACTAACTAACCAGATAAATGGAATCATACAGTATATAGCCTTTTACATGGCATAATGGTCCTGTGATGGGACCATTATGGTCCTGATGCTGGGGCATGTGTGAGTAGTTTGTTTCTTTATCGCTGAGTAATTAGTATTCCATGTATGGATTTACCACATTTTTGAATCCATTCCTAAAATGACAGACATTAGAGTTGTTTTCACTTATCGACGTTCATAAATGATGTTGCTGTGAACACTTAGATGTGTTTGTGCTTGCATATGTTTTCATTTTTCTTGAGAAGATACCAAGAAGTGATACTGCTGGGTATATGGCAAATATATATTAAAATTGTTAAGAAATTGCCAGAATGTTTTCCAAAATGACTATACCATTTTACATTCCCACTAGTAATGTATGAGGTTTCGTTTCTGCCCATTGTTGCCCTTAGTTGGTATAGTCAGTCTTTTTTATTACAGTCATTCTAGTGTCTGTATAACGATACCTTTTTTGTGATTTTAATTTACATTTCTCTGTGTTTTTATGTGTTTATCACATTTATTTCCATGTGTTTATTAGCATTCATATATCTTCTTTGATGGCATGACTACTCAATATTTTGCCCATCTCAATATTTATTGGGCTATTTATCTTCTTATTAAGTTGTAAACGTTCTTTCTGTATTCTGATTACACATCTTTTATAAGATATATGGTTTGCAAATATTTTCTCTCAGCCTGTGGCTTGTCTTTTCATTTTCTTAATGGTTTCTTTTGAAGCATGAGAGTTTTTAATTTTGATGAAGTCTAATTTATCAGTGTTTTCCTACGTGGATTATCATTTCAGTATTGTATCTATGAATTCTCTGCCTGACCCGAGGTCACAAACTTTTTCCTGCTTTCTTTTAGAATTTGTATAGCTTCAGCTCCTGCATTTAGATCTATAAACCATTTTAAGATCATGTTTGTGCATAGTGTGAGGTAAGGGTCTAAATGCATTTTGTTGCATATGGATATTTAATTGTTTTAGAACTATTTGTTGAAAAAAATTATCCTTTCCTCTTGGATTGCCTTGATACTTTAATACAAAATGAACTATCATGAATGTGAGGGTTTTTTTCTCTACTCTGTTCCGTTGCTCTATATGTTTATCATTATGGTAATGTCATACTTTTTAGATTATTTTAGCTTTATATTAAGTCTTGAAATCAGGTAGTGTGAATCCTCTTTTTCTTTTTTTTTCACAATTATTTTGGCTGTTCTAGATTCCTTTCATTTTATGTAAATTTTGGGATCATCCTTTTTATTTTATTTTATTTGTTTTAAATAAAAGTGTTGTGGATATTTTGGTATTGCTCCAAATATGTAGAACAATTTGTGAGTAATTGCCAACCTAACACTGAATCTCTGGATTCAAATATGGTATATCTCTTCATTTATTTGAGTCTCCTTTAATTTTTTTCAGCAATGGTTTATAGTCTTCAATGTACAGATCTTATGCTACTTCTGTTAAGCTTACTTATTCCCAGCTATTTGATTCTTTTTGACATTATTGTAAGTTGAATTATTTTCTTACTGTCATTTTCAGTTTGTTAGTTGCTAATAGAAAGAAATACATTTGATTTTGTTTTGGATCTCATCCATTACAACCCTGTTTCACTCACTTACTTATGGAGCTTTTTTTATAAATTTCATAAGACTGTCTACATAGACATGGTCCTGATGCTGGGGCATGTGTGTGGTCTGATGGTACAGTTTTATTTCCTCCTTTCCAATTGGTATGCCTTTGGTTCATCTATCTTGCCTCATTACACTAGCTACAACCTCCACTATGATGTTTCATGGAAATGATTATGAGCAGACATTGTTGCCTTATTGTCCGTTTTAGGGGGGAAACATTAATCTTTCGCCATTAAGTATGATTTTAGGTGTAGGTTTTTTTATATGCCCTTTACCAGGTTGAGAAAGTTCCTATCCTTAGTTTGTTGAGAGTTTTAATAATCAATGTATTTTGGCTTTAAACAAAATGGTTTTTTTTTCCTGAAACTATTGAGATGATCATGTGGGTTTTTTTTTTACCTTTTATTAATACAGTGTTATACATTACATGATTTTTAATTTTTTTTATGGGAGGAGAGCCATA